AACCATTGGCTTGCCGCTGTCAGTCAATATCAACAATGCAAGGCAGGATGGATCCATGGTGTGACTTGATATATGGCAGTGCTGCTGTGCCTCTTTTTAATAACCCCATGGCCTGCAGAAGTTCAACAAGTGAGAGATTTCTTAACTTGGAGAACATCATCTTTTTGCATGGGTGAATGTACACTGGTATGAATTAAACAAAAACCACATAAGTGGCAAAGGGGAGCATCCTGTGCTGTTTTGCAGCTGTTGGGGAACTGTTCCCAAAAATATGAAAATATTTAAAAAGTAACAATAGTTTTTTTTCCAATTTATGATTGGATTTTGTTACAAGGGTTTTATAAATAACGCTGATTTATTTCAATGAGAAAAAGCAAAACTGTGGAATTCTTCCTGAAATTCTTCAGGTGTGATGATTTAATGTCCAGTTAATATAGTTTGTTCAGAGATTAAATACACAAATGTATTTATTTATTTTGCTGACTACTGTTGGATCTTTGTCTCTTTCTCTCTTTGGAGAAAAGTAGATGCTAGGAACATACACTTTTAAAGCAGCATTGCTTGTTTAGCCAGTTTTCATAATTGTAATCTGCAGAGTACAGTCCTTTAGGCATTACAATAAAGCTAGAGGCAGAAGAGTGTAAGGAGACAAAGAACCCTGAAACAATACAAAGGAACAATCAAGCTTATAAGAGAGGAAGGAAAGGATGTAGCAGGTGATTGGTTCTATTGCTTCAGGTTTTCTTATTATTACTTTTATTGTACCTGTTGGGGAACACCTGGTCTGCTATGTGAACTCTGTCAAGAAGTATAGCCTTGAGTGGATTCAGAGATTCAGACCACTCAAGACATGGTCTTTCCCTGCTTCCCCCATGAAGGGTGTTCAGACTAGGGCTTGGAGTGTTACTGTCTGCTTAAAGTTCTTTATGCAACAGAAAACCTAAATATTACGCAGAAGTGATCTTTCTTTTGATTATCAGGGGTTCCTTGGATTTTAGAACTTGTATACTTTTGCTGAATGCTTGATGGAAATTCAGAATTCTGTAAAAAGAAGCCTTCCCCACTGGGAGTTGCAGTCAAACACATCTGCAAGAAACACCTGGAAGATGGGGAAAGTCTGGTATAAAGCATTAATTCAGAACTGTATTCAGGAATAAAGGCTAATTGCATATTTCCAGGCTAACATAGATAATTCAAGGTAGATTAACAAGAGGGAAGAATTTTTTTCTTATGCTCAATGTTACATTCATGGAATATACAGAGTGAAGAGATGTATTTCCCGTACAGGCCTTGGAGCATTCTGTGGGATGTGTGAAAAGGGATTTTATGTGGTGGCAGCAGCTGCGTACCTGTGCCCTTGGGTTCTCTGGTTAGAGCTGAAGGTATGTCAGCTGCCTTCCCGATCATAGTAGCCTCCAGGTGTGCTGGACTACATTTAATGGGAGTTGTAGCCTAACACAGGTTAGAAAGTAGCTCTTCAGAATATCTGGGCTTAAATTAAGAAATAAAATGAGGCGACTCTCAACATATTTGTTGCCCTTATGATGCTTAATCAAATATAGTAATGCTATACCAATGGGCATTGTAGAACATGAGTTTGCCATGAAAAATGTGTGTTGTAAATATGCATTCTGCTTATGAATGGAATGAATAATTTGAAATGGTTCCCTTCGTAAACCTGTCTTGTCCTCTGACAGAATACTAGCTCACCGTATGTTGAAAAGTGTGGGAATATTCAAGATGGGGTTCTGCCCTCAATATCTATCCAGTCGAGGATGATACTATTGTATTAACTTGTTGAACTGGCCGTAAGTTGCAGGAGGGGAAACTCTCCCATCTACTTCTGTCCATGTAGCTCTTTTCTTAATAGGCAGATGCATTTCTCTTTGCAACAGAGATTATTGCAGAAATATCCTTTGCATTTCCAAATTTCTCTTCTGCACAATGCTCCCTGGTTTAATAACATTGAAGTCCCCAAGGCAATTATTATTTGATTCAGAAACCATTGTAAGCCTTTGAATTGTAGCATACTTTTCTTTGATTTTTCCTAGTTTTATCAAGGTTTCTGACCTTAATATTGAGGGGATTGAAATATTGAACTCAGAATTTCAGTCCCTGTGCTTGCCCAGAATTTCTAAGAAGGCTGTTCAGTAACTTGTTATGGAACTGCACAGCCTCCCCCCCGCCCCCCTCCGTTTCCTTTCTAGGGTCTGTGGGTTGGTGTGGTAGCCTCACGGCCAGGTTGCACACCCAAGTGAGGCTGCACTGCCACTGCCTGCTGTGCCATCCTGCTGCTCTTTTCCACACCAGCTGAGCAAGCTGTGAGCAAGCTTTTCACTCACATTTTAGGTAAATGCAATTAAATGGCCAGACCATCTTCACAAATTCCATCTCATGTTCAGAGAAATCTTCTGCATCTTGTTTCCCAAGCGTGATGAGTTATGTAGGCTTAGGGGCATGGGCTAGTTCTGTGTGTTCATTTATGCTCCCTCCAAGTTATGTTAAAGTACCCTGGTGTACTTTCTTCAAAAGTAGTTATCCCAAATGATATTTGCCTTGGGAAAGTACTAGCAGCCGTGGTGAAAGAGCTCCCTCCATCTGTTTCCACAGTCCTGCTGAAGAACTGGAATGGTAGGGAAACCAAAAAGGTGTCTTCAAGTTTTATGAAAAATTGGGTCTTTCATTTCTTCTTTCGTGCAGTTTGTCAACTGGAAAAAGAAATGTTGTTGCACCAGACACTTTCTCCTAGATACAGACTTGCTACTTAATTACTTTGTGTTCCCCTCATATGACTACTATTGATTTCAATTTTTTTCTCACGAAACCTGAATTCCTAAGGCATGGGTAAAACCATCTGCCACAGCTGTTCATAGTTTAAGTAGGTGTAGCACCTATTATCTTGTGCACTGATCCAGTAAACAGTAACAATTCCAGATTGTCTCTGCCAAGTGCACCACTTTTGGCTGGCACAATCCCATCTAACTGACTAAGAAAACTAGATTGTATGCCTTCAGCAGTGTGCTCACTGTGAAATTTTGAAAATTCTTCCACAAGTCATGTGACTAGACCTCATGCTAGTCTTTTGTAGGCATGTGTGACACTGGAAAGCTTGTTCTATTTGAGATTGATAGACTTTTGTTAGCTAAATTTTTGCTTTCAGCTTCCACAAAATTGCTTGAAAATGTTTGCAGATTGTGTGACTTTGTATGAAAAGTATGCAAATTGTTGAGCAGAGGCCCAAATGTTGTATAAACTTGCCAAGGTTTTTTAAAAATTACACAAATTGCAGCCTGATTTAAAAATGGAAGTCTGCATGCTAACTCATCTTGCCTTTCACTGAGTAGACATCAGCACAAAGTCAGTGAAACAATTTCCACAGAGAAGAGTTGAGAAAAGTCATTGGATTTTTACCCACCTATTGGATTCCTCACAGATTCCCAGTTGTTTGCTCATCTGGCTCACTCAGTGCCATACTAAAGTCCATGGCTACTTAAAAGAAACAAGTTTTTCTCCTTTTCAAGTGTTGGTGTGTACAGACTTTTGGGCAATACATTGTCTTTACTGTCAAAGCACTGTATTCTCCTTTCTGGAACAACTGGCCTCTTTTCTAGGCACATCCATGTTCAAATCATACCATCTTCATTGTGCTTCATATCAACAAACCCATGACCAAGTTGTTTTGACTGTAAAGCATTCAATGCTAATTTCTTACTTTCTAACATTCCATGGTGAGTCTTGGCTCTCAAAAGTCCATTTTTCTGTACAGCTGAGTCCAAGACTGTGCCCTAGAGCAGAAATGGATATGAATAGTATAACTTCTAGTTGTACCTGTATGTCATCTATAGTCCATAACTTGGCTTGATTTGCATTAGTTGTTTCTTCTCCCCCTGAAGGCATGAGGCATTAACATCCTGGAAGACGGTTCCTTTTATTCGTTTCAAGCTTTGAAGTTTTTGAACTGCTGGCTGGACTTCTGAACCTTAGGGTTTTTCCAGCCACTTTTAACCACAACATTGACTGGATGACTTTGGGGAAAGTCATTCATGTTTTTTTCTGAAGCAACATAACTCATATGTCTGATGTGAGGATAAAATGGGATAATCTTTATTTCTGCTCTGCTGAGGTCCTTGGTGGGGCACAAACATGGTAATACATTTTAGATATGTGAGAATATCTGACGTCAAGAGAGTGAAAACTTCAGCATGAGTTCACTTGAGATCTGTGCTCTTTTTTTCATCCAAGCACATATAAAATTCAATACCATGCTGCATTTTTAATGATCTTCGCAAATGACTGTAATAAGAGAAGTTCTATGACACTTTAGCTGCCTAAGCTTTGTGCCTTTTTGTTTTGTCTGGACAATGGGTTTATTATTTCTGAGCCAGAATTGCAATGTATATTCTGGTTTTGCTTATAAACCATCTAAATGACGTAAGTAACTGTAAGATTATTCTTTGTTTGCCTCCTTTAATAAAGTCCATTTAATGAAAGACTCTGGTTTCATAACACATGCATATTTTACCAATGTCTCTTATGGGGACTAAAACTTCTGATTTATAAACATAATAATATCAGGTCTTCAGAAAAAGTAAATCAGTTCACTAGTCCTTATGTTTAGGTTGACGGTCAATGTTCAGCCAAGAGCCCACAGATCTGTGTGTGGCTTAGTTGCCAGTCACAATTCACAATTTCTACTGGTGCTTGTTGTGTTTAGACCCATCCTTTTCCTCCACAGTGTCGTGAGGTGACAAAGAGGTGCTCATCAAGCTGAACAGAACCTTCACCAGGTTTCAGCAACTTTTATCATTGGGGATTGGCTTTTTGGTGGCCTGTTCATCAGTCTAATGCATTAACACTTTGTGGTAATTTTGGGAATTATGCATGGAATTTCAGTGAAATAGAAGAATGTCCCATGCTCCATGTGAAAGCTAATAAATAGCTAAAGCAGTAATGTTAAAGATGAGCTAAAATCCTGTATTTCACCTTTTTTTTTTGTCTAGAGAGCGTATGGAGCTATTAGAAGAAGCCAAGAAAATGGAAATGGCAAAATTTCGTTATATTCTTCCAGTTTATGGTATCTGTAAAGAGCCTGTGGGCTTGGTCATGGAATACATGGAGACAGGATCACTGGAGAAGCTTCTGGCCTCTGAACCACTGCCTTGGGATCTACGCTTCCGGATCATCCATGAGACAGCTGTGGGCATGAACTTCCTTCATTGCATGTCTCCACCTCTGCTCCACCTGGACCTTAAGCCAGCAAACATACTGCTTGATGCTCATTATCATGTCAAGGTATGTCATAGACCTTTGATATTTGACCTACAATATTTGGTATCAGGTAAAACTCCCCCCCCACCCAAAAAAAAGACATCTCCTGTGTATTAAACAATTAGTAGAAAGCTGTATGCTACTCTACACAAAAACACAGGGAACTTTTTTCCCAGGAAAACTGTGATAGCAGAACAAGGTAGTAAATGAACCATGTTAACAATCTGTCCCCCATATATGTGAACCATCTTATGTTCAGACTCAAAAGACCTTTTTGTTCAACCATCATTTTAATAATGAAGGGTTTTAGATGTTTTAAGATTTTTTTCCTTCTTCACAGTCATATTTTCTATTCTTTTCCTCCCCTTTTCTTTCTTCTTAGTTTATAAGGTCCTGTTTTATATTGTTTTAATAATTGTGGTTTTATTGCTGTATTATTGTAATTTTATATTATGTAAGCTGTACCGAGCACTTGTCGGAAGGATAGGATATAAACGTTTGTAATGAATAAATAAATAAATGATAAATTGTGTCATAAGATGTATGCTAGTATAAATATATGGGAGCATCTGCACCCATATACAGTATGCCTACCCAGCCTTTCAGATGAATGCCTGGACCCTTTTGCCTGAGGGAAGTGAGGGGGTGGCTGCTAGGAGGAGGGCCTTTTCTGCCGCTGCTTCCCACATCTGGAATGTTCTCCCTAAGGAGACTTTCCTGGCGCCTTCGTTATGCTCTTTTTGGCACCAGGTCAAGACCTACCTCTTTAAAAACATATTCATTTCCAATACCTAACCTCCAGTTGTATTCATTTTAATGTAATTTTACTAGGTTTTATATTTATACTAACTTATGCCATTGTTTTATTTTTTAGAATATATTTTAATAGTCTGATGTTAGCCTCCTAGAGATGCCATGGGTGAAACAGGTGGCATATACGTGTTTTCAATAAATAAAAATAGATGAGGAAATAAGAAAAAAATGTGGGCTACTTCTTGATAACCATTTGGGTTTGTAACTGTGTACATAAGCCTTCCTCCCAGTCTGGTGCCCTCCATATGTGTTGGCTAACAACTCCCAACTGACTGGGGAGTGTTGGGAGTGGTAGTCCAGTATATCTGGAGGCCTTCCAGTTGGGGAAGACTAACATACATAGTAAATGCATTGAACATTTATAGCCCTCTTTTCTATCTGGTGAAAAGTCCCCAGGCAGATAATAAAAACTAAGAATGAATGAATTCTTTAAAATAGTCCTTCGCCTCCCACTGTGTGCTACCCGGCAACCCATGTTGCCAGTGTGGTGTCGTGGTTAAGAGTGCAGGGCTGGGACTCAGACGGTCTGCCTTCTAGCCTCCTCTCAGCCACTGGGTGATTTTGGGCCAGTCACAGACTGTCAGCCTAACCTACTTCACAAGGTTGTTGTGGAGATAAGATTCAGAGAGGAGGAGGCAAAGATAAGATAAGATAAGATAAGATAAGATAAGATAAGATAAGATAAAAGAGGAGGAGGAGAATTATGTAAGTCACCTTGAGTTCTTTGACAGGAAAAAGGCAAGATATAAATATAGCAAATAAATAAACTGATAGATAGAATGTCATGCAGCACTAGCTTTAGAATGCTGGCCAGTATTTTTCCTACATAGACTAGACTAGACTAGACTAGAATGGGGCACTCATAATATTAATGCAGGTGTGCACAACTCAAATTATTCAGGGAGCCACAAGTTATTCCTGTTAGTCACAATGCTGCATTAACCATGGAAACTTTTGCCATAATTTTAGTGATGCCTTGCTTACCCCATTCTCCAAATCAAACCTTTTAGATTCCATGTGAAAATGGAGATAGTGAATACCATAACCTCTGTTTTGTTTCAGTGCCCTTTAGGCACCCATTCTGGCATTTACAAAGACCACTATCTGCGCTGAAGTGTGTTTCTGTGTTTCTTTTCAGTTTAATCAGTACCTGAGCTTTTTACCCCATACATTATCATGCCACTTAGAATGTGAATGGGAACGGAAAGCTTGAGTTTCAGAGCATGCTGGCTTGCCTTGTGGAGCACGAAGTCCTGGTGGGTTCAAGGCTTCCATGACTTGCTCATAGCATAGTTTCCCATTAGGCTTGAACCGGGCCACTGTTTGTCAAATATCTTATCAAACAAGATTTTTAGACTCTTGCACAGAAGTTGCCATAACCCTTGGATTCCTTGGGTGGATGTTTTTAAAAGCCAGATCAACCCTTCTTTAGCCTCACACTGGTAACTGGCAGCACTCTCCAGAAATTGGCTTGGAGTTAGAATTAAGGGGAGAAGTCCTCTGTGCTCTCACACAGAAAGGTGCCTTCCACTCATAGCCGCTGAATTACAATCTTTCCAGAGAACAAGATAGCCACATCGTAGCAACAGAGTTTAATTTTTAATCCACCTTTATTACTTAATAGACTATCCCTGGGTGAGAGTGATGCAAGAAAGCTCATTTCCAGTGATTTCTCTGGCCCTTCCCACTTGGTCTCTTCTGTAGTTGGTTGTGAATTATAATCCATACAGTCCCTTGCTTACACAGGGAGCTGTTCCTTCCTTCCGTGCCTATAGCTCACTGGTGAGCTTGACCTTACCCATTCTTGTTTATTGCATTGATTCATGGAAAGGATATGTCTATTCTTTTTGGTCAGTTTATACACTGTCATTCTTCAGAGGAGCTCAGAGGGAGAGACAGTGAATTGCCAACAGCTACTCAATAGAATTTCCTAGCCTCGTGGAGAGTTAAACCAGTGGACTTGATATCTAAATCTAACCCTTTGCATCACACTGTCAAGTTCCAAAATTTCCCCTTTTGCCCTGCTTTCAGCTGTGGGTAGAGTGCTAAATTTTGTTGTTAAATGTTGGTGACTGGAAGCAGCCCTTGAAAGGGCATTCTGCAACATTCCATGATTTGGGCTCCCAGATTGTTTAACAGGGAGAGGCAGCAGAAAGAAGTATCCAGGTTGGCTGGAAATGGGTGCTCATACTTTCTTTTGCATCAAAAGTTATTGCAAGGGAATTACAGGGCTGCCTGGCCAGACTAGAATGCTAAAGTTCAGTCAGCTACTAAAATGGGGGTTGAATATTTAGATGCTATTCAAATTGTCCAGTACTTTCAAAAATATAATATAAATAAGAGCCATTGTGGTGGTAAAGGTGTCGAACTGCTGACCTGGGAGTTCTGGGTTCTAGTCCCCACTCAGGAGTGAAACTCACTGAGTGTCTTTGGGCCAGGCATGGACTCTCAGTCTAACCTACCTCACAGGGTTGTTGTTCTGAAAATAAAATGGAGCTATGTAAGCTGCCTTGGGTTCTTTGGAAGAGACAAAGGCAAAATATAAATGCAATGTAATCATAATAATAGTGATAACGATAGTTGTAATCTCACTTATCAAATATGCTGGAGACTTTCTTGCTGGATGTGTGTTAAAAGCATTAGTCATGCCTTCCATAACTGCACATTCATCCTTGCTATATTAATTTTGATAGCATAAGATCTCACTGTTTCTTTATGGAAGGGATTTGATACTTGGCTTTATTTCTCTGTTTGCCAGCTATCATTATCCACTGTGTTGATAGGTGTTATACTATTCCAATACTAGTTGCTTTTGCAGTGCACAGATCATGGAAGTGAGGCCCTTAGAATTGGACTAATGTACACATACCCACTCAAATATCAAATGGATGTGCCACATTCTCTTATTGTAGCCTGTAACCCAAAGCATCACTAAGAGGAGCGATTCAACTCCATGTACTTTATGTGCAGCCTGATTTCTCTGGAAAATCTTGTTCCAGTTCTAGCAGTTTGCTTCAAGTTGTGTACTCTGTGCTTGCTCTATAATTCAGTAATCTACAGGAGGCTGGTCTATTCAAGCCAATTCTGAAGGAGACTTGAATATTTTGGCAAAGTAAATGCTGAGTAATGGCACTAGTGTACTTGTGTCAGTGAAAGCATTCTTATCTAAAAGGCTTGTGCTGTTCACCTGCTTTCTTAATACTAAGTAAGAAAACATCTTCAACACCGTTTTGAATGGTGGAGCAAGCATTAAAGCAATGTGAAGCAGTTGCTTCTCTGGAGCAAGCTGGTTTGGATGGTTGGCCTGGTGGTCACGATGGAATACAAGCCTTGGGAGGTATGCTGTCTGGCACTAGAACTAATGTAAATGATGTAGTGATGGAACAAACAATATTTAGTGTGATGCCAATAGCATTTTCTGGCAAAGAGAATGAGAGTAAAGAAGAAAGCAAGTCTGGAGCAACAATGGCTCTGAAGCCAACAGATTTCTAGTCTTAAAATGTTGCTTTCTTAGGCACTGATCACTGATGTACCACTGTATTTCTTATAAACTGGAATCCAATATATCTCACTCATATTCAGTTCAGGAGTCCATGATTTTTATTCAGGTGGGCATACTCCATAATGGTGTTCACACTACAATAAAGTTTGCAGCTTGTGGAAATGGTCTTATGAGTGCTAAAAAAGTGTGGTTATAAAACAGTCAGTTTTCCATTATGAAACTTAAAAGTGTGTTCCTGATGGAGGAGGGAGGTCATAATTCTCAGTGATGCAAACTCATTCCCTGAATAATAGGCCTAGGAAAGACCCTTGGAAGTGGTGACCAGCCAGAGGAGACTGTGCCTGACCAGAAGGATCAATTCTCTCCTTCTGGTATCAGACAGTTATATGTGTTCAGTTTCTACCATTATGGGATCTCTTAAATCCACAGATTCATGCATTTGAGCATCCCATACACTTGCTCCAGAATCATTCTGCTTTTGCTTGTTATCCTTGTACCCAAGAAGTTGTGAGTTAAAATTGAATTAACCTGCAGCATAATATTTAAAGACTCCAATAAGGTGATAACTCAGAATCCCATAGAATTCAAATAGTGAGTCATTGCGTTTGACTCTGCTTCAGTCTGTTGGTGTACAGGGATTTTAGAAGGCGACTCTTGCAACCTAATTAAATTCCTTTTATGGCTCTGCACGCGTGTGGGTACCTGGTGCTAACAGGAGCTGCATGGATAAATTTCTTGTGCAGTAGTAGAAACTTACTTCAATGTGTCTACTTTTAAAGCTACAAAACTTTTTCAGGATGAACATTCTTCTTTCGCCTCAGCGGTGGGAGCCCCTTCAGGCACTACTGTTTTAGTTGTCGTAGAATTTTGATATATTGGGAGCTCCAAGTCTGTTTTGGATGTAATCTGATGGTGTTGATAAGCATTAACTTGTTTGCTTAAAATACAAGTTTGTAACTGGGGAAATTGGAGTTGTCTGAGGACACATAATTAAAAAGTTAGTGCAACCTTGTCTTTCAGAATCTTGGTTGTTGTGGCACCTGGTCAGAATATGTTCTGCTTTAGTTGAAATCAAATGGCACAAAATTTAAATAACCACTGCCATCCATTCAATGAGAGTAGAGAAGCATTGTTAAAATCATAGTTCTAAGTGGTGGTTCTTTTTTTTCCCGGGTTTCTTATTTTGCATTTACTTGTCTAACCACCCGCACTCCAAGGCTGGCTGGAGTTTGAATTGTGACTTTTGTCATCACCAAGTACCTCTCACTTTGCAAATGAAAAGTTAGACTGTGTCTATATGCTTACATTCAAGAATAAGTGCACAGAATCTCTTCCCATGCCCACCCCATTTCCTTTTTCACCCCTCCTTCCTTCTATACATCTTCCAATGTTGTCACTGCCTGTCGCTGCTTGACATTACATGCATTTATTCCAGCTTACATTGACCTTTATTTTGTACTTAATTTTAAAATAATATGTAAGTAATACGTTGTTCTAGTATTACTAGGGGTATGTTTATTACATTTTACATGTCCTGAACATTGATTGGGACTGGGAAATGAATAAGGATAAAATAGTCCTTAACCAGAAGTTGCCTGTTAGGTCCATTCCTTTTCATCTCCCAGCCTTACCTGCAAGTAAGTCCCGTTGAGTTCAATAGGACCTACTACTGGGTAGACATTTTTATGTAATTGTTTGATTTGTATCCTGGCTTACTACCAGGAAGAACAGCACTGTTGGGACAAAATGAGCCCAAGCTCTGCCATAGCATGGCTGCCAAAAGCCTGACACTGTAAGAACAGCTTAGAGTTAAGATAGGATTCCTGATCTGAGCAGGAACACATGTTGCAAATCTTGCTAATGTACATTGTCCTGAATGTTCTTTCACCTTAAACATGCTGATGTTTGCCTGTCCTAAAAGTTTTCCTTTTGTGTTGTCTTAATCCATTCAGCCCTATTGCTTTATTCTCATGTGCCTCTAGCAAACTGCCTAAATGATTCCCGCCCCGCTCCAAATTGTGTATGTAACTGGTAGGTTGTAAAAGCAACTTGTACAGACTCCATTTTTGTAGTCACTTTGGTGACTACCTGTATCCTGCATGTATTTTCTGTATGCCTGAATAAACGATTAACTGTCCTTTCGACTGTACACCTCCAGCAGACACCCTCAGGTTTTTCTTGCAGTGTAAAGTTATTTACTTATATCTTTAAGCTTTAAAACAGTTTAAAGTTATAAGTAAATCTTGACTGAAACAATAATAAGATACTTTAAAACATTGTTAAACCATAAGAAAACCAGAATAAAAACAGCATCCAACCCACTGAAAGTCAAAAGCCTGCTTAAACTGGGAGGTTTATGTGTGCTGGCCAAAGAATAGCAGAGAAGGAATAAACTTCACCTCCCTCAGGAGGGAATTGCACAGTCTGGGAGTGGCAGTGAAGAAACCACTCTTTCATGGCACCACCAGATGCACCTCTGAAGGTTCCAGTTTTGAAAGAAGGGCCTCTTCAGAAGATCTTAAGACATGAGCAGGCTCTTCTGGGAGAGAGCAGCCTTTCAGGTAGCCTGGTTCCACACCATCAGGGCTAAGTCCACACTAGTATTTGGAATTCCACCCTCACCATTGAGGCTCCTGTTGCAAGGGAAGCTCATGCTTCCTGTCCCTGGCTCCAGTCAACAGTCTGGCTGCAGAGTTGCTATAGAGTTGCTACAGAAGAATAGAACTTTTCACAGTCTGATTTCAAGACCTCTTCTCTCTCCTCCAAAGAAGTCTCTGCACATGTGACTTTATGACCCAGTTCAGTGTTATATGAAAACTGGATCATATAAGCACAGTTCGGATGTGTATAAGCCCTTAGGTTCTTGCTCTTGATAAATATTATTATCAGTCAGTCACCTGATAGCGATTGGCTGTATTTTGTTTTTTGAGTAAGGAATCTTTCCCCCCTTCCCTACATTTTATTTGTTTCTTTTTTTTTAATAATAAGTTTTATTCAAAATAACCCTAAAACAAAGTAAAACTAAAAACAACATCAGTCATCAAAAACATCAGACCTGCTGGGACAGCCCTCACATTTTTTCCATTTATGATAACTTAGAAACATATTTAGATCTATACGAAGTCCTGTTTCTCTAGCCAATAATAAAAAGAGTCCCAAGTTTGATAGAAATCAGTATCTTCTTTCTCCTTCAATGACAAAGTCTATCTATTTCTGCACAGTCCAAGATCTTTTTTAGGATCAGTTCGTCAGTGGGTGGTTCTTCACTTTTCCAGTGTTGAGCAAATGCAATCCTTGCTGCAGTAATTACATGTAAAATCAAGTACATTTCTTGTTTACTAATATCAACAGGTATAATGCCTAATAAGAAGACTTCAGGTTTAAAAGCTAAGGATTTTTTAACATTTCCTCAAGCCATTTATGTCTTTTAATCCAATACTTTTTCGCATTATCACAAGTCCACCACATATGATAGAAAGTACCTAATTTATGTTTACATTTCCAACATCCATTTGACATATTTGGAAATATCTTAGCTAATCTATTTGGCAACAGGTACCATCTATAAAACATTTTATACAGGTTTTCTTTATACGAAGTTGCTAATGTTACCTTAATATTTCTCTCCCACAGCTTTTGCCATTTTTCTAATTCAATATTATATCCAAAGTTTTGTGCCCACATTATCATAGTTTCCTTAATCTGTTCATCTTCCATTCTCCTATTGAATAAGAAATTATGTAGTCTTTTAATCATTTTCTCATCTGATTTAACCATCACCTGATCAAATGCTGTTAAATCTTTATAAAAGCCCCACATTTTATGGTCTTTAGCATATCTCGATTGTATCTGCACCTTATGCCACCAAGAAATATTAAATCCTTGTTCTTGTGTTTCTTGTTATTTGTTTAATTTCTATACCACCCAATAGCAGAAGCTCTCTGGGCAATTTCTCAAAAATACAAAATAGATATAATAAAAATATAAGTAGCACACAATATAAAACTTCCAATATACAAATTTTAAAGCAGTTTAAAATTACAACATACTAAACTGTAAAGCAATTTAAACATTAAAAATAATTTCAGTAATTATTGAAAATAATTTCAGACCTAATTAAAAGAGCTGGCATGACACATCCTATGCCTTTGAATGCCTGGGAGCAGAGGGAAGTGTTAACCTGATGCAGAAAGTATGACTCTATTGGCACCAGACAGGCATTGACAGAGAGAACAATCCATAATGGGAGGCACCACTGAAAAGACCCTCTTCTTTGTTGACTCTTTCTGGACCTACCTTGGAGTTGGTAGTCAGAGGAAGGCCCCAGGTACAGAGTGTAGGGTCTGGGTAGATAGAGGTTAGACAAGATGTTCCATTAACTATTGTGGTCCCAAGCTGTGCAAGGCTTTATAGATTAGAACCAAATGTGCTTAGAAGCTTATAAGTAGCCAATGCAAGTGGACCAGAATTGGTGTTATATGTTTGGACCTTTTGATCTCAGTTACTAATGTGGCTGCTGCATTTTGCAAGAACTGCTGCTTCTGAACAGTCTTCGAGGGTAGCCCCACATATAGTGCATTGCAGTAGTCTACTTCAGAGATTACCAGTCTGTAGCTCACTGAAATTAGGCTATCCCTGTCCAGATAACAGCATAGCTGGGCTATCAACTGAAGCTGGTAGAAGGCTACTCCATCCACCAAGGCCGGCTGAATCTCAAGTGATACGAGTGCATGGCCACTATATAGCTTCTCCTAGAAAAGGTAGACATGATCAGTCTTTCTTTTGCACAAAACACTTCACTCCTTTAACTTGCTGCCATCATTCAAATGTTCTGAAATGCAAGTTGCTGACCGGGATAAACCACATTAACTTTAGAAGCTAAGTTTACAGTCTAGTCAGAGTAAACACTCATGTCCAGATTAGTTCAACATACGCTTCTTTCTCTTTTAAGTTTAAGTGATAACGTGGAGCCTTGAGTGGCATCGCTGATTCTCTCTCTGCTACTTGGGCAAGTGTATGCATGTTTGTGGGTAGGGTGGTGGCTGAAATAAGTTACTCCAAAATAACCCTGCTGGCATCTCTCAGTAGTGGCTAGGGAAGTATGCATTCTCAACAGAATAAAGCACCCAAACAAACACCATTTATACACTCACTATTTTTTATTAGCCATTCAGAAAGCCTGGTGCAAATCTACTCCTTGGGCATTTGTTTTGATTGATACGTCTCTTAAAAATTTCCTTGGCCATTTTCTTCTTCTTTTGCTAGCTTAGATTAAAAAATGCCCTCTTTTTCTATCTCCATATTGTTTTTATTTGCTCCTATTTCCAGGTGTCCATTTCAATTTATAACACAGCTTATAACAAAAGGGTACATTCAAGCTGAGTATCTCAAAAGAAACCACACATGCAGCTATTATTTAGGAAATGTTTTAATTCTTTTTATTACTTTATCAGATTTCAGACTTTGGATTAGCCAAGTGCAACGGCCTTTCTCATTCTCACGATCTCAGCATGGATGGCCTTTGTGGCACCATTGCATACCTGCCCCCGGAGCGCATCAAAGAGAAGAACAGATACTTTGATACCAAGCATGATGTCTACAGGTCAGTTCACATATCTGTTTTCTTCTTCTTCACTGCATAGATTTCTCATCAGAGGTGTTAGGTAACCCTGCTAAATGTAAAAGCTAGGAACCCATCTTAGAACCCATTTGATCCTTATCTTGGATTTCTACTTTCCTTTAGTTTGGTCTGGACATTACAACCAGGCATGCTGACAACTTGAGAGGCATTCAAAGCAAAGTTCATGTGTGTGCCGTTTGATTCATTTGGTCATGATTCATTTAGGGCCAGCCGAAAAACAATGTTGCAACTGATTTCAGATTGCAGAGATGTAGTATACAAGCACCCATTGATATCCACTACTGTTTTCTACCCTGACACTGCTCTTAGCATTCTTGATGATGTCATGTTGAGGGCCAATAACCTCCAATAGTGGGCAGGGAACCATCTGTTACAGGAGATAGTGTTACACAATAGATGTCTGATCTCCTGTTCTGTAAGGCTTGCCCGTCCATGAACGTGATGCTTGTAATGGTGGCATCTGCCTAGATGCTTTTGTCAGCTTAATGTTGGGCTGGATCAGGGTAAGCAAGCATTGAAACCCATGGTCACATTTGGAAAGCAGAGAAACTGTCCTGGGTACAAGTATAAAATGGCTGCCATGGGTGGACATAGTTAACAATCACAAAAAACAAGTAACCTGCCAAGATTCATGAGGACTCAAGATGGCAGAGGCTCCTACCTCACTTTGATGTATTTCCAGCTCCTGGAGAGAAAATACACACATATTTGTACCCTAAAAATGGGAGAAGTGGGTGCCTTGGTGGGCACCAGAGGAAGGTTCTAAAGAGACACTGGTGCCCACAGGTACCATGTTGGCCTCCCCAGTGCAAGGAAATGTGGTCTATTCTAGCAAGGTGGGTCTCACTCTCTCAAGAGCTATTCTCATCCTAGCACTACTTTCAATGCTGCATCAAATGATCTAGTGTGATTTTTATTTCTGGTAAAAATGTGTCATACTTTTATGAAGTTAACTGAAGTTTTTCTTTTGCAGCTTTTCTATTGTTATCTGGGGAGTTCTCACACAGAAAAAACCATTTTCAGGTATGCTATAAATATTTGTTTATATGAGTCATATTAGATGAGCACATCAAAGTAAATGCTTCCTCATAGTTCTACTGGGATGCAGCATGCCAAAACTTCATCATTGTTCATACAGATCTGTGCCAGCTGCTTGAAATATTGTCCATGCCTTTGAGGATAAGAAATCCCAGCTACCTTTTCTGCACTGAAAAGGCTTATGAGGTCATTGAATCTAACCCTTCTTGCCAGACAGGCGCATGCAGGCACCCAACGGTCCCTCAGCAGTCAGTGAAGCAATCTTGACCACAATATGCCATAGGGTATGTGCAGGCGGGCTGCAGAAAGCTTTTTGTGGTACCCTAATATGAGAGGGCATATATAAACAAAAAGGTCACTGACTTTCGCCAGCCCCAGCAGCTTGAAGTCTAATCCAGCTTTTCCCATGTGGTTATCCTCTGAATGGTGTGAGTTGAAGCAGGCCCAGTCAGTATATCCAGTGGTCTGGGATGGTGGGAACTGTAGTCCAGAAATTTTGAATAGTGCCACATTAACCAAAACTATCAGATCCTGGGCATGATGATAAACCTGTCTAGAGGTACCCAAAAGAACTATAATTGGATAAATCTCCCATGCTGCAGGAATACTGAGGCATTATTGCATTTAATTTACCTACAGAGAACAACTGTATTTCATTCATCTCTTTTTTAAGCTAGCAAGCTGAGGAAATTAGAATGCCTCATCTGTAAGAGCAGAGGATATGATTCCATGTATTTAAATTTGGAATTGTAAATGGCATCCCGAGACAGCTTAAGGCAACAGTGGACAACCCCTGTCCCTCCAAATATTTTTGCCTCACATCATTGTGCTGCTCCTGTGCCAGTAATGTAGGCATTCATGCTAATAATGTAGGCGTTACTTTAGGAAATTCAGGCCCTAAAAAAGGGACTGATTAATCTCAGAATAAAAAACAGTTGTAATTTGTCCTTTTCATTTGCAGAAGAGAATAACATCTTGCATATTATGGTGAAAGTAGTTAATGGCCACCGCCCAGAGCTACCAGCCATTTCCAAATCCAGACCTCGTGCATGCAATAACTTGATCAAACTGATGCAAAAGTGCTGGCAAGATGACCCCAGCAAGAGGCCAACATTTCAAGGTAAACACTTCTAACTGGGCTCATTGGCAAAGTAGTGAGTCACTGCAGTGTTCGGGACTGTATTAATCCATGGTGGAGCTCCACCAAAATTTTGTAAAAATGATGGACGCAAAGTACACACAAACCCAGTGTTCTGTGCAGGTCACAGTATGAGGAACTTCCTCACTGCAGGGAGGGGATTATGCCAGAACTTGTCTGATCATGAGCAGATGTTGATTTAGATGTCAGATGTGTACTGATCTACCTAAGTCCCCAAGCTGCTACCTAGGGTGCCCTTGCAAATCTATATATATAGCTGTGGTAAAGTTATGCTAACATAAAGGAAAATGTTTTGTTCATATGGTATTTTCCACAGTATGAAAATGCTCTTGCCAAATGTAAGCAAGAGGAGTAATTCTAGATTGACCTTAAAACGTGGGTTGAGGAATCGGCACAATCCAGATCGGCAGTAGAATACGGTTTTCACATCGTGTTGGACTGTGCCATAGCACTGTGGCTTCTTGAATGCTCCCTTGCATGCAAAGTATGTGCACTTTGAAAATAAATGCAATGCAAGAGCTAGAAAACCGTGGGCAGGATCTCCTAAGCGTACATGAACATCCGTGGGGGAGAGGGAGAGAGGTGGGGAGGGTCACGCATATCCTTCACTCAGCACAGCTATTAATCTTCCCTTTTTCTCAGTCCATGCTGATGAATCTGAATATGGCCCCATATCCTGCAAAGTTATGTAACTGGCATATTTTATTCCAGCTGAATAGGTTTTATGGTTGCATGATAAACTATTTAAAGTGCAGAAATTCTCCCTGATTTAATTGCTTGCACAGAGGAGGAAAGGATATTGAAGGGAGGTGTGCCTGGAGCAAGGAGACCTATAATGCCTGTGTTTATTACTTGGTCAGTTCCCAAAATGACAGCATATGCTTTTACTGTCTTTGCTTTGTGGAAGTCTTTTTGCAGCAGGAGCCCTATCTCATTTCTGGTGGAGGTGGGGGAGCCTGTGGCCCTCTAGAGGTCCACTTCCGGTCTGCCCACTGGTTGTGCTGGCTGGAGCTGATGGACCTGGCAGCTGACAACTTCTGGAGGGCCACAGGTTTTCCATCCCTGTTACAGCACCAGGACAAGAGTGGCTTACATTTCTCCGGTCCCTCTCATAAGCAAATATATTTCTTTGTTGAGAAGGAGACTGTGCTGTGTGAAGACTCATTCCTTTTTCTGAGCATCTTCTAGAATGAAGATGCAGCATCTTCATCTTTGGTTTATATTTTTATTTCCCAGAAATTACCTCAGAAACAGAAGACCTATGTGAAAAACCTGAGCATGAAAATAAGGAAATGATAGTTCAGGAAGATGCTAAAACCACTCAGGCTTACCCCAAGGTATGTCTTTCAACAGGATGTGAAAAACAGGGGGAATTTCATATTTCTATTATCTTCTTCCTGACCGTTGCTTTTAATTCAGAAGGTCTATTGTTTTTCCTGCTATCCATTCCAGGAGGCGCCTGGGCTTTCCCAGTTAAAGCAAGAGTTCGATCCAATATCCGCTGAGGATTACAGCCTTTCTGAGTTGCTGTCCCAGCTGGACTCAGGGATTTCTCAGACAGAAGAGCCAGAAGAGCTCAGTCGTAGTGCTTCTGAATCTCAGCTTGCCTCCAGTGACAAGAGGCTTTCAGGAGTGTCCTCTGTAGATTCTGCCTTCTCTTCACGAGGTTCCCTGTCACTCTCATTTGAGCGAGACAATTCTGGAACAGGTAAGGATCTCTTAGCTTAGTTGGAGCAAGACTTAGACAAATTTGGCATGTTGTGTTGAGGATGGGAAAACAATTTGTTGTGACTTCTGGGTCCAGCAAGACACAAAAGGAGAACATAGCAAAAGCAGAGAAGCTTGTTGCCCACAGCATGATACTGCATTGCCACTTGAGTAAGGTCACATGGACACCTGTCCAGTGTGCAAAAAGCAGGGCTGGTGGGGGAAAGGGCTTCCTTCAATTTGGCTTTGTATGAAGCTTGCCAATTGAGAATATGGGCAGTGGGGCTGCTGTGTTTTGTCTGTCAGGGTTGCTGCATCTTTAAAGTTTAGCCATCAGTCAATGTGTGGAAGCTTGAAGATGGTGCACAGTTGAGGTTTCTCTTTTGCTCCTCCAGATATTGGCACGATGGATATTCAGAAAAGAAAGCTGGCAGAGGCAATCACGTCTGGGGACACTGGCAAACTGATGAAGATCCTTCAGCCCCAAGACGTTGACCTTGTTCTGGATGGGAACTGTAGCCTTCTGCACTTGGCTGTTGAGTCAGGCCAAGAAGAGTGTGTCAAGTGGCTTCTTCTGTACAATGCCAACCCCAATCTGACCAACAAGAGAGGCTCTACACCTCTCCACATGGCTGCCGAGAAGAAGAACAAAAGCATTGTTGAGTTGCTTCTGGCAAGGAAAATTAATGTGAATGCTAAGGATGAGGACCAGTGGACAGCCCTTCACTTTGCTGCCCAGAACGGGGATGAGCTGAGCACGAGAATGCTGCTTGAGAAACACGCCTTGCTGAACGAGATAGACTTTGAGGGGAGAGCTCCCATCCACGTGGCCTGCCAGCACGGCCAAGAGAACATAGTGCGTATCTTTCTGAGAAGAGGAGTGAATGTTGGTGTCAAAGGGAAGGATGACTGGGGACCTTTGCATTATGCTGCTTGGCAAGGTCACCTGTCCATAGTGAAGCTCCTGGCCAAGCAGCCCGGGGTCAATGTGAATGCGCAGACCGTGGATGGAAGAACCCCGTTGCACCTGGCAGCCCAGAGGGGGCATTACAGGGTTGCTCGCATTCTTGTAGAGTTGCAGTCAGACGTCAATATAAGAAACGCTTGCCTGCACACTGCTCTCCATGTTGCTGCCGAGACTGGCCACACCAGCACCTCCAGGCTGCTTCTCAACCGCGGCACAGATGTAGAAGCAACGTCAGCAGAAGGCTTCACTGCCCTCCACCTTGCGGCTCGCAATGGCCACTTATCGACGACCAAGCTGTTGATTGAAGAAGGGGCCAATATCCTGGCCAGGGGCCCCTTAAACAGGACAGCACTGCACCTCGCTGCTGAAAATGGGCATGCTGAGGTTGTAGAAGAACTCGCCAGACCAGAAAATGTAAATGACCCTGATGAGGAAGGGTTGACGGCCCTGCACCTGGCAGCAAAAGGTGGACATAAGCACACAGCTGACATTCTTTTACAGCGCGGTGCCTTTGCAGATAGGCAAAACCTTGCATTTCAAACCCCACTGCAGCTGGCTAAGCAACACGAGAACACAGCAGTTGCCACGCTGCTCAGTGAGAGATAGGTCACTGAGTTTTGGGTCTTCCCAGAGAGGCTGGGAGATGCAAAATCTCGGGGACGGGGGGGTTGCCTCAGCTCACGCCTGTAGTGTGTGCACCTGCACGGGTTTTACAGGCGAGTATGCATTCTGCCTGAGTAGAAGCTACTTCTGGATGCAGCAATGCAGCCTAAGAATCTGAGTGAGCGTGGTAGCAAGGGTCAAGGGAACCCTGCACACCGACTGATGCTTGCCTGTAAGGTGGTGTGGAGGAAGCCACGTATACAGGCATGGTTCCTTCCCAGGCACTTCAGCAGTAGGGAGTAGACTTGCCCTATAGATGGTACAAGGAGTAGTTTTTAAAAAGAGACAGAGTTAAGGGAATGCTTGACTCTTTCAAGGTAGAGTCAATATCTAATATTTCAATCATTTTTTTACATTCAGACATTATGAGAGAAGCATCTTGGAATGTCGCACTAGAATATTTTTGAAATTGATCTTTCATTGCATTCCTTCATGATGCCTAAGTCAATAAAAACATTTTACCTTGCTAAAAGTACTGTAAAGATGGTTATCCTTAGGCCATATAAACAGCGATCATGATCTCAGTCTCATAATGCATAAGGGATTAAGGAAAAAGAATGCAAGAAATGATGATTTCAAAGCCACACATTTCTGTGTTCTAAGATGAGCCGCTTTTCCATGTCTATCATAATCATCCAGAGCTTGCAATAACAACTGTGAGCATCCAAATTATGAGTGAAGGGAGTATTGCATAGAAATTCTTTTCTGATGTACAATACCAGCTTATGTATATATACAGTGTATATGCATGATATTTTCAATACGTAAATGAATGAAACAAAACACAGGAAGGTTCTGAGCACATGTGTGTGTCTGTATGCATGCTAAAGCAGGAAAAATCATAGAAGTATAAGCATAGCTAAAATGCAGCAGTCTAAATCTCTTAGGAGCAGCTTTTAAGCGGTGTACATAACTGAACCACATTTACGGTACTGCAGTATCTTTTGAACAAATGTATTGTGTTGGATAGACTAATATAAAAATATACTGTGTATATAGTATTCCAGCCCATTGTACATCTTTTTTCTACTACAGAAAATTGACACTCTTCAGATCTGGGTATGTTTTAATACACCTTTTATAAATTTTCATTATTTTCAAAAGTACAAATGGAATATGTTTTATCAATAAAATAGTTCTGTTTTACTTGTAAAGTGACTTAAGTGTGTCTGCTGAGTTCAAGGGACAGATTAATTTCACAGTCTTAATCTTTGCTTAAAAATCACTCATTCACATGTGATTACCTGTAATCCAGATATTACCAGGAAATGTTCTCATGTTATGGGTGTGGACCTGAACTACCCAGTGAGTTCCCAAGCCTTGCCTGAGTCCAGCTGTATTTACACAACTGCATTCTCTTTGAATACTTCCAGCCGAGGCTTTTTTATAACCCTGGATCAAACTCTGTCTGAGTGCCATTTTTTCACAGTTGCTTCTCCTTTTTTTCTTACCAGAAAAGAAATCTTATGTGGAAAGATAGAACAGCTGCACAATGGCTGGATTCACACAACTCGTTAAACCCTTTGGGGATTTTAGCCAAGCGCTGTGGTAAAAATTCTATTGAGCCTGGCAGACCATCAGGCAGAGTGGCGGTGGGGGTGGGGTGCTTCCCACTCCCCACCCCCAGCTCTCCTGTGTTATCTCAGGGGACATGGCAGGCACACCAAGACATCCCCTCAGCTGGGGCAAACCATTCTGTGCTGCCCATGGCTTGCCTGTGGTATCCACAGCCAGTGAGGCCAGCCCAGGGCCACATGAACAGGTACCTTCAGAACCCAAGGATGGAATGCTTGTCACACACCCCACCTTTAAACAAAAAGAAGAAAAAATAACTAGCATTGGGCTACAAAGTGCAAATTCAGCAGCCATGCTAAATTTCAGCCCAGTGTGAACTATCTATTAGATTTTATTTTATTTTTTTTAAGGCGGGGGTGTGTGAAAAGGACCTTTTGTAGCAGATTTCTCAGGGGTTTTTGGGGAGGGGTGGCTAATGTGGCCCAGGTCTGCCTTCACTTTGTACAACAGAGGCGCAAGGGCATGTCTCAAAAAAAGTCAAGAACCTGCATAAAAAGTGTTTGGGGCAGCAACATCCAAATTCCTCCCATTTCATGCAGGATCTCCAGCTTTTGGGGGTGATGACAGGAAGCACCAACTATGCCCTTGCATCTGCAATTTACCCTGTGTGGAGTGTACCTTGGGGGGACGCAAAATATGAGGGAACCCCCCGATGGATCACCCCTGCCTCCCTGCATGAGAGATTTGCTGCTGGAAGGGAGGGAGGAAGCCCTTCCCCACTGTCCCCACGTGTTGGCACTTTGGGGTTCCTTGGAGAGGCTGTTCCCATTAGCCCCTCGACAACAGCAGCAAGCCTTTCTGGTTCTCTGCCAAGGAGCACTCTCACTTTTGACTCGACCATGGCTTATTTTGTTGGGCTCAGGCAACGCAATATGCCATGCTCAATCTACTAAAAGCCATGACCTGGTCACGGTGTCTGTTGTTCGTAGTGCTAAAAGCCACCTGTCAGACAACAGCCATCATTTTTAAAGCCATTCCTTGCAATTGCAGTTAAACTTTTTGATAGTGGCTTAGACATTAAACAAAAGTTTCATCTGGAGATAGTTACTTCACATAATCAGGGGAGCAATCCGATGCCTATTTAGATCGAAAAAAGGCCTACAGGTTGCAGCATCCATGCTGGCTGGAGAGTGTTGGAGGTTGTATGATTTTCTTGTTTGCAACATCCCTGGAATTGCACCTAAGAGAGTTGGCAGGGAAATAGGTGGTGGCAATATGTATTTTTTACTGACTAATCATGACTATTCACTGGAGATAGCAGCAGACAGTACTGAGACTGCTCATTATAGATTATGATTTTCAACACCCTTTCCCAAATGAAAAAGGAGTTAGTAATTCCAAAAATGAAATTATAGCTTCCCTTTATCTTTTGCTGGCTGTAGTATTTTTGTTTATTTTAAAATTTAAATTGAGTTTAAAGAGTGTTGCTATGCTGCCAATCTTGGTGGATTAAATTTCCTATGAATATGGGCTTTCTTTTAGGGAGCACTTCAATACAATAGTCACAAAACATTGAGAAGGGGTTTTAACAATTTCCCAACTGTTTCCCATTGACTACAAAGGCTTGACATAAGAAAAACTATTGCCAGCTGGCACCTGGACGTAATTCACTTCTTGTGTTCAAGTCACAAGAATGAAAGCCCTCTTCCATATTCCATCTTGTTGGTGCTATGTCACAGGCAGCCTAAGCAGGTTATATTGAAGGAGTTGCTGGCACAAATTCAAGCCAGCATGGGTTCATAGGAAGGATACTGGGTAACCCTGATTTTATTAACAGATCCATGATTTACTGGGACTATTTTGGACCCTAAGTTGTTTAGCATTTTCCCTCCTAACTAGAAGGAAGCAATGATGTGTATTCTGCAATTTAATGATGATAACAATCTTAGATGTAGTGCAATCAGTTTAGAGTGTGTACAAAGGGAACAAAATATATTCCACAAACCTGCTGGTTGAGAAGACAAATAGTAGTTGGAAAAAATACAGGACAAAAAGACAAAAAAAAAAAAAAATCAGCAGACAATTAAAAAAGGGTCACCCAGTTGGAGATAAATACCCCTTAAACATCCTATATGTCAAAGGAATGATTCATGACTAGGTGTGCTTATTTTGAAGACGTTCCATGAAAGAAAACACTTTGCATTTCTGTGGGTTTTTCAAGCTCTGAAAGAAAGAACTAATTTAGAAGAGAGGTATGTGTGAATTCAATTCATGGGCTAGTTTAAACAGAACAGCTCTCCCTTCCTTCCTCCTCTGGATGGAAGAAGATGGACAACCATGAGTTTTCAAAAAAATGATAAACATTCCACAATTCATCATCCTTGAGCCTGGTTGGGGCTTTGCTCTCTGAATGCAACAAAAGATTTGTCCGTTATACCCTATACACCACCACAGACCACTCACAAGTGTGTCCTGGTTTTTCGAATAAGCTTCTGCATATCCTGTTTTTCTGGAAAACCTGGCATGCCAAGTCAAGGTTGTGCAACAGAAGAAGAGTTATGAATGAAAGGATTGAGATTTGCCTGCAGGGTTGCTAGTAATAAATCAACATTCTTTTCTATTGCCACAAAGGATCCTAAGCATGTTCAAAGGACAGGCTTGCTCATGCATTCTGGGGCCTGTAGCAGCAAAGCTTAATAGCTGTCCATTAGCACAGTCTTTTAATAAAAGCATCAGTGGAGAAGATTGTTACACAGGCTCATGAGGGGCCCACTTCTTAATTAAAGTCAAATGTCTTGGGTGCAGAAGATGCCGAGTATGCAAGCGCACCTTTTCCTGTGGATAGGGCCACCTGGGGGTGCTGATCAGCTTTGTACCTGCTTTTCTTCCACTGCTCCCACTGCCATACCAGGGCTGGCCCTGTTCCTCCATGCCACATTTATACTCTTGGAAATGGGAAGTTCTGAAGCAGGGGAGTCTGCTCTAGGCAGAATTTGGACTCTTGTGCAATTGGGGTTCTAAATCATGCAGAGGGTAAGCCCACATGGGAGGCTTCCAGTTCCAGAACACACCCATGCACCTTTCAGTGGGCACACCCCAGCTAACAGACCCCTGCTTTCCCTGCATGCATGAAGACACAGTGTGAAAATGAGATCACAGACTCCACCGGAAAATTATTTTCTCTTTTCCTTAAAAGAAAAGGACTGCTCTTCTTCTGCAGGTTTCTTTTTCATCCCTATGCTAAGTGTGAGGCATTTATTTCTCAAAAATGCCTGATTCTTTGAACAGATAGGTTAGACCAGGACATGCGTGAAGGGGGCGGGCGGGGGTGACATCTTGCAGTATCTTGATAAGATCTTTTCTCCATGTTTTTTCCCTCAGTTTCCTGACACAAAACTGGGATAGCTAATACCCTGGAGGTCAAAAATAAGATTCAAGGTGATCATGATCGATTGGAGCACTGGGCTGAAAACAACAATGAAATTTAATAGGCACAAATGCCAAGTTCTGCACCTCAGAAAAAGAAACCAAATGCATCGTTACAAGATGGGGAATACGAGGTTCAACAATATTGCGAGTGAAAAGAATCTTGGAATTGTAGCTCAGAAGCTGAATTTGAACCAACAGTGCAAAAAGGGCAAATATTATTCCCACAGTCCATCAGAGAGGTTACTCAATCAAAAAATCAAGCATCACGTTTGTATCATAAACTTTGATACAAATAGGTTGCTCCACTGTTCTGTTATCTTAAAGTATTAGAGTTTTTTGATTGGAAAATTCTTCAACTAATTGTTTGTCTATAAAATGGGCTAGGAGGAGAAACTTATATATCATTTTCAGCTCCTTGGTTTAAA